TAGAGTGAGCTACACACCTGTGATGAGATCCCAAAGTAACTTCAAAGATTCTTTGTTCTTCCCTCTTTCCCACTGAGGAATCATAGTTTGATATGCACACACCTAGCTTTGTTTTAATCCTCTTCTTCTCTTTCCCCTTTCATGTCAGCTGAGAAATGACAAAAAGCCTTTTTTGAAAAAGAGAAAGCTTTTGTAATGTGTTCAAAAGGTAGTCATGCTCTGGATTAGGCCCTCTCAGGGGACTACTGTTTTTAGCGCAAAACCATCTCTGCCTCCCAGGTGGTTTTACCCTCTTTTCTGTTTTCTGTATGGTGAAGATGAGATCATAGGCAGACATACAATAACTAGTGCAACTGTGTCCAGAGAGCAGACAGCCTTTCATCAGCTATTGCTACTAGCATTGTCATTTGACTGTATTTCTCTTTCATATATGCATATGTTGGACTAAAATGTACCATAAAATAAAGAGGAATATGTAAGCGTGTTGTGACAAGAGACAATGATAGTTTTAGCTGCACACTACTATCCAAGAAATGATCTGTAGGCAAGGAAAAATTTACACCACTTCTTAAAACCGTTTCCTTAATCATAACTCACACTTTAATGTTGTTCATTTGGTGAGGAGTGAAATTATGACTTGTGCTCCTCCACGCGCACTCACTCCCAAAGCAATGTGATCTGTGGTTTGGCCTCTCTGCCAAATTTGTGAACCTAGAATGTCTCAGAAAGCCATACACTCCTCTGTCATGTGGATAAGTTGACATTACATACACTGTGCCCCAGGGTTATAGGTTGCTTAATAAGCAATATCTGTATGCAGAAGAACATTAGATAACTATTCTACATCTAGAATAGATTTCTTGCTTAAAATATGAAGCTGAGTGAATAGACCCAAAGTCAGTCATGCAACCCCATAAACTGCCTGTGCTGTAAGTCTCAATCAACTGTGTATGGCAGTAATAACACCGTATTAACTGTAGTGTCAAGGTCTGTCGTGTCACTGATTCTCATGAGAAAGGAGCCATGACATTTCTTGTTTCCAAACTCCTACCACACTCAAGGTGATCTTGATCTCTTGTTTTAACTACAATAGGACATAGGGGCTCTCTAGTAAAATGAGATCCTTGTTCCTTCCCTCTCTCCACTTTTCCTTGTCTTCCTGCTTGCACTCTTGGCAGGAGCTCCTGTTACACTGTTTAGAGCATGCTCCTGTTCATAAGGGTGACTATGGGTAGCACAAGCTGTAGTTCAGATTTTGTCACTTACCTGTCAAAAAAACAATTGTTGATGGATTATAAAAGACTGATCCTTTACCATATCACATTTACGTATTTGCTGTCACAGCTCCATTGCCATGCAGGATTCAAAGTTAGATGTAGCTCAGTAGAGTAGTGATGTGGGTGTTGATCACCTTTCTTCCTTGGTGCTCTGCTATGTTTTGCTTTGTACCTGGAATATGTGTTGTGTTTTCCAGCAAATGATCTTTTGACAGTTGTAGCACCCTGCTTCATGTCTCTGTCCTCTCTCCTGCTCAAGCTGCCTGGCTGCTTACTCAACCTGGGAAAAACTGACTTGTCTTGGCTTTCACCTCTTTACCAACTTGAAGTATTTGCTGAATAAGCACTTTCACAATAAATGCAGTCAGCATATGCATACTTTTGGAAACAAAGGCTCTTCCTCCAAATATTTGTACAGTTATAACTGTTCTGTGGCAAAGGAAGAAACACCCTGAAATGCAAATACACCTCTCTTCACCTTCAGCCACTAGAATTTAAACACATTTTCTGGCTGCGTGTGTCTTTTCAGTAAGAAATGAGAGAAATGAAAGTTTATTCATCTTCGTGATGAATATGATTCAATTCAGTCTCTGTATTCTGAAGTGTATCACCTAGAGGTTTAGATCACTCTGGCAAACCTAATTCTGTTTTTTAGGCAGTGATAAGGTAGCCCATCCTTATTACAGTTTGTTCCTGCAATAGAACTTCTAGACATTAGTTTGGCTCCCTGCCTTCAGACATGACATGAATTGTGTTTCCTTGGAAAATAATGTTCTCAGAGTTTTGTGTAAGATAAAAGTTGCCTTCACTTAAGCAGGAAGGTTATTATGTTATAATTAATATCTACTTGGTTACTGGAACTATAGCACCTATGTTTGTTCTGAATAAGGTTTTAGGTTGTCATGATACAGTTCCATATATTACTATAATTTCCTTGGATTTTTTTTCAGTTTATAATGGCAGGTAATAACAGCATTGGTGAATGCAAAGGGAAATAGACAGCAAAAATACAGAGCCAGGATCTGGTGTACAGCATACACTAAGTAGGAGAAATATTATCCACAATGTCCAGATGGAAATGAATGTACATAGTCATAACCACAGGTCTTTTCCCCACAAGTGTGTTCATATCTTATCACAAAATTTTCTTATGGATCAAGTCCTTGACTGTTTTGACTTCTCCAGACTTCTCTTTTTTTTTTTTACACACCCTGAAGTTCTTTTTGAGGACATAGAAAGATTTCAATTGGAAAAGTATCAATAGGGACATATTGTTGACTCCTGTTTGTAACTTGAGAACCAGATAAATCCTGTGACTTTCTTTTTCATTATTTACTTTTTTTTTTTTTTCCTTTTATATTGATCTTTATGGAACCCAGTTTTGGTAAACTAGAAACTATCACTATTCCAAGATCCCACAGGTTCCAAAATCCAAAACTAGCCCATGACTAGTAGGCTAAGAAAGTTGTATCACACTTTTAAGGTGGCATAAAGATACAGTAATGACAGGGGTTTTCCATTAATCTCGTCAAATACACTTAATGTGTTGTATAATAATTAAATGATGTCTGACTCAAGCCTCTTCTAGCTTTTTCTTATTCGTACATTCTATTGTGTACATATTTGGGCATAGTGAAGAGCTTTCCATCTTGGCAGACAAAGATATTTAAAAAAAACAACCAAAAAAAAAAAAAACCCAACCCAGAAAGAAAAAAAAAAGTCATTGAGGAATTATTTTAGGAAGGAGTATGAAAGAGGGGGGGAAAAAAACCTCAGATCATTTACCATGACATATTAGTATATCCCTAGTGAAGGGATAACATAAGCAAATGCTTTATTTATCATTGCCCTACATTTCTATTGTAACTTTTACTTTCTATGAACAGAAGAGGATTTTTTTTTACTTTTTGTTTATTTCATAACATCATAGTCTTTTTTTTTATTTAAAAAGACTACATAAGGTACTGAGTAGTAAAATCAAACTATCTAATTCTACAATTCGTTATAGTTGGCAAAGACATATCAAAGTAAAGACTTGGAGATGAAAACAGGAATAATAAGAATCTTAACTAAGAAGGTCTTACCAATACAAGAGCAAGCCAAAATTTTGACACACAGAAAAGGGGCTGAGATACATTATTTATTAGCAAAAGAAAGCTGTAAGTTGAAAACAAACAGGAATTCATCTAGAACTTGATTACAAGTAAAAAAAGCTAATTTTAGTTCTAGGGGGGCTTCCTAGTATAGAAGGTCTGAGCAGTTATCTGAATGTGCATTGGTGAAATAGTAATCCTTATAAATATTTGGAGAAATCAGGAGAGACAGGAATTTCTAAAGAAAAGAAGATTTTCCCTGGCAGAAGGTTTCTGAAGTGTTTCTGGCCTTGCATTTTCTTTTGCTTACATTTATTTATGAGGCATTGCATTTCTTGTCCTGCTGTGGTCTAGCTAGAAATGAAGTGAGGAGTGTACCTCAAATTCAGATTAGGATACAATTCAGAATTAGATTGTAATATAACTAAGTTGAAATTAATAAAGTTTAATTTAATTGAAATTAATTGACATCTAGTTGAATTAAAATTGTATATGAATTAAATATGGGGTTTTTTCTTTCTGTGCTTGCACATAAAATGGTAGTTTTGTATGTAATTTTTTCCCATTTTAAAAAAAACAAGTTGGCTTTTACATCAATGACACGGATTCAGATTTAACATAAGGAGGTGCTACTAAGACTTTGTAACAATTCCCTTCATTTAACCCTGTATTTACTGACAAGGACTTCTGACAGCCCAGCCATTTGTACTATTGTAACAAAACTTTCTTTAGAGTCCCAAGTTCTGCTGTCTTACATGTATTTTTTCTGCTGGAATGTGTAAAATACCAAAGAACCTAATTCTGATCCAGTGATGCACATTTAATTAATTTAGTTAATTGATAATGACATATTTATTTGCACTTTCAGCTTTATAAACTAGATTTCAATAGCTGTCATGTATCTGTAAGAGTGTATATTTTTAAAACTGAAAAATCTTGCACGGAAAGGATATTTTCTGTACTAATGAAAAAATATCCACATACTAAACAGTTGCATTGTCAGGGATTTTTTTTAAATTAATTTGAATCTAATCAGCATGGATAATATTTAGGTAAATAGTTCAAAACAGATAAGTCTAGATAAATATTATAGTGTGTGCATTTGGGAGGAGGTAATGTATACATGTGCTTAATTATTTCTATAAATATGAAAAGCAAAGAATTATGGAGACTTTCAAAAAGTGCTTTGGCTGGAAAAGTTGTTTCTTTTGTAATGTGAGTAATATCAGTTGCAAAAACAGCCTCTCACCTGTCTCCTATTGAGCTAGTGCAACCTTTCATTACTGTGTATCTCACAATACTAACCTCCTATCCATCCTGAAATACTAAATGTTACCACTCTGGGAGTCTGTATGTCATGTTAAGCGCCTTGAAAAGGACATGCCTTAGGAAAGTCTCAGGTGTAGCAAGTAAAGCATCACTACAGTTGTCACTTCAGCTCAGCATGAACATTTAGATCCACATCCTAAGAATAAAATATTCTATGGCTTTGACTTTTCTACAGTTTCTGTTAAAATCTTGAGTCACTATCTTCTCTTTACCTACACCTCCTGTGTTCAACACACACAAAAGTGTATCAAGGTTACTACTTTTGTGTAAGAAAAAAGAATCCCACAGCATTTCTTTTTAATAACTGTTCAGCTACAAAATTTTATTGGTATCCTTCTATGTTCCCTCTAGAGGATGTAATGCACAAAAGCATTGCCATGGAACATATAAAATTACAAATGAAATTTATTGTAAAAAGTAGAATGTCTTCTAGACTGGTGTCAGTATTTATTTCATTCATAAACCAAAACTGCAGGTATAATATATTCATTGTCAGCAAGTTCATGTGTGTAAATTGCCATCCAACAGTATTGACTGATATAAGACAGATATTGAAAAGACAATTTAAATTTACTCTTCCAAACATAAACTGTTCCACAAAAGCACTGTAAAAATTCCTTCAAGGTTTTGTGTTGTGCTTCACATTTATGGTTAACTACATAATTTGGTTGTGTCATAATCCACTGTGTTTGGCAATTTGGCATTAAAGGCCTGCAAAGCAGATTGAATCCTCACCACTTCACTGGTAGACAGTTTGAGTCTATGACGGAGCAAGCAAGAGAAGAGGTCTAGACGACGTTGACCAGGTGGAGAGAGTTTATTTACACGATCCCGTATCTCTAACAACTGCAAAAGTGCTGAGTCCTGTGATCCCTGAGTATAGGGGTAGTCCAGCTGCAAAATCAAGTCTCGAATTGCTTCTGGGTCAAAGTGCATGCTGTAGCCAAACACTTGGATGTTATTGATTTTCATATAGCCCAGATTTCTTGAGGGATCAATAAATTCCAGGGGTTCATAGTAGATGCTCTCATTACCATTTAGACCGTTTGACTTTATTCGACTCCTCAAATAGATGTGTACAGTTTCAAAAAATGTTTTCCACTTGTTGCCCAGAGTCAGTGTCCAGTTATAACACTGAAGGGGTAAGTCCAGTTTAGTCCGCTCCCAGTCTGGGAAATTATTTTCATTCACAGGCATAAACCAGCTCTCAGAGTGGCTGCCCCCAAAAGGATTGACATAAACAGCAAGAACAGGCTCTAAGGTGCTGTTTTTAGTTAGGCAAATTTGAAGAGAGAGGCCCAGTATCATATGGACCAGGCTAGACTTGTACTTGTTACTCTTAAGAGTAAGGAGCATCCGCTTGCGCCAAGAAGGATCAAACCAGCTGTTGAGGCGCATGTCATTGCTGATGAAAATGGCATGGACCTCAATTCTCCGGTCTGTCTTCTGCAATAAATACTTCATTTCCAGGTCCTGAAGGTCAGTCTCGAACCCAATGTAGTGCTCTGTTGATTCTGCCACTTCAGGCTTGCAAAGCCCTTGGCTCAACATGTAGCCAGCATTGCAGCTCCCACAGCGGGTGCGATTGTCAGGAGCACAGCTCAAGCACGCAGAGCCATCTCCAACCATGCAGGGAAGGAACCCATGGCAGGCAATCTGGTCATTAGGGCAGGTGCATGTGTGAGTATCTTCAGAAAAGCTTCCCAGGAGACCATTTTCATTGCAGTAGAGAAAGGACTGGATGCGGTTGAGCCAATAGTTGGAAGATCTGCAACGTTAAAATAACTTATTTTAACACAAAGAAAGACTTGCACTCAATAAATACAACCTTGTTATTTTTTATCGGAAAGAGAAAAATAAAGCTGTTTTTAGTAGCAGATTAAGGCACTAAAGCCAGATGACAGCATCTGCTGTCAGATAAATACATGTATAAATTGCCTTTCAACAATGCAAAATCACAAAAGAAAAGTTTCCTTATGAACTTACAGGCGCAACAGGAACATTTGGTTCATGTATTTGCTCTCTGTGTATCTCTATCAAGGAAATCTCATAAAGAGCCATTTTTTCTGTAATTTTCTTCAGATTAACATCTTGAAATCCTATGCAGTTGAGATTATTTTTCCTCATAATATTTGATGATGGAGGTGCTTTGTCTGTATCTAAGTGTGTACAACTCTGTACCATCTCTATTTCATTATGAAGATTTTTGTAAGCTTGCAAGCTTTCTTGTTACTGGCTGGAGCTGCTTTGATTTATAGACAGTGAGCAAAAATGCTTTCCTGGAATAGCAAATAGAACCCTGCATCCCACTAAAATAGGCTCAGTCTTAATTCTTCAGGTGACTTCCAGCACAGCAATATCCCTACAGGAACCCATGCATGAGTATGCTGTGTTTACTTTTCATCTTTGGAGATGAAATTAAAATGTTCACTTTAATGTTCTTCTTGTAATCTCATTTTGGTTTCACTAGAAGCAACAGTTAATGTACTTCATAACACTGGGAAAACAGATATTGAAACCAACAGTTTAGGCTGATGAGGCACAGTCTCTAAAAGACAACGGGAACAAAGAAGTTACATGGAAATAGTCAAGAGAAAAATTATCTTCTTTCTTTGTCTGTATTTTTTAGTTCTTATTAATCCTATCAATACACAATTTAAAGAACTTGTTTTGGCTGCTGTAGAGTCAGATCTATTGTTGCCACATGAATGACGATGGTTGCACTGTTTCTTCCCTTTTCATTGCATTGTTTCAAAGAGAAAATGCAAGAGCCTCATTTACTGCTGACTTACTTTTTAAGTTACATCTGAATTTGTCTCAAGCATTGAATAGTTCAGAAATCTTAATATTTTTTTCTGACTATAAAATAAATGCTAAAACTAAAAATCTATGTCATCTCAAAGTCTGAGTCTTTAGAAACATGAAAATAAAGATCAGTAAAATTACATCATTGTATACTCTGGTGGCTTTGTTTAATCTTTTTTTTTCCTTTCTCTTTTTTTGGTTGGGACGGGAATCTTGGTTGTTTTGTGCTGGTTGTTTTGGTTTTTTTTATATACATATAATCTGCTAGTATTTTCTAGAAGTTTAAGTAAATATAACATCCATGACATGAACAACTTAACACCATTCTTCTTTGTGCTTATTTGAAAGTCAACATTAAGCAAAAATATTTTGGCAAGCTTATTCCTTCTTCTCCTGATTAAAAATCATAATGTCCATTCTACAAGCAAGGTCAATGCCACAATATAAAAGTTACTCCAAAACTGAGTAGAACATTAAAGCTATTGCTCTCCCAGGTGGAATGGAAAGTTCCCATGTACTTTGTCCGGGTTGTTACGACAGTAATCTGTACCTATTGAGCTTGCCCTGGCAGCTCACAGGAACTGCAGTTCAGATGTGTTATGACCCTGTTTCCCATTATGGGATGAACTTTGCAGCCAGGCTATGTGTCACATTGGATGATGTGCTGTAAAGATTTTCTGTGTATCACAGAGTGTCAACCACAGAGACTAAATCCGCTTGGCTCACTCACACAAAACCTTAACCATGCTACATAGTTCGTAGCATCTGAGGATATGTTTGCATGATATATTCTAGTCAGAAGAAAGCTAACTGTGCCTGAACTCCAAAGCCAAACAGAGCCACATGACAACATTAGTTTTTCAGCAGAGATTAGTAACTTGGATTTGGCATTGTGCTAGTATGGACAAGAAATTTCTGTATGGCTGGGAGGCTAAGCATTTATCCTGGCTTGGAGCTCAGGCATAGTTAGCTTTAAACTACACATCAGCTATGAGGCCAGGGGATATACCAGACCAGACACAGCTGGTTCCAGATGGTTCCAGCTGGTTCCAGCCAGTTGTTGTTATCTCGACCCACAAGCTTTTTTTATCTTATTTCCT